TATGGTCGTATGTGCCTGTTTGCAATCACTGCCCGACTCATGATCCAACCGCGGGCGGGCACGCACCCCAGTGTAAGGTGCTAGATGGTCTACGCATAAAAACAATAATTAAAAAAAACTAACAACACCGAGGATTCCCCAATGGTCACCCACCTCAGTACAGTACTAGTTCGGCCCGTATATGTTTTAATGCATGGAAATTTTAAAAGCAAATAGGATCCCAAGCCTCCAAAAACGGAAGCCTCTGCTCCCTTTGCTCTCAGCCAAGCGTTCCCCTACCGTCCAACGGCCGTTTGCTGCGCCCCACCCTAAACACCCACTTATGTTCCAACCCAGCATCATTCCTGGATAAAACGAGAAATGTGCTCCTGGCGCTTCCGTTCCCCCAGTAGCACAACCCAGATACGCCTTTTCGCATCTGCACTTAATCGCGCGCATTCCGATACCGCGGATAGGTTGCTAGGGGCGGCCGCGGCTAGCCCTAGTGTTTGCGGAGGCCTGCAAAATGCGTGTGCTCGTACCCCGTAGGGCCTTAGACAAGATGCGCAGCGTTCACGGCCCGGACGGAGGACCTATACGCATACCAAACCTGGGGTTAGGCTGTCTGCTTCCTAAATGACATCGGAAAATCCAATCGAGGGGCAGTATCACGACGACGAGGGGGTTTGTTATAAAAGGGGTGGAAAAGGATCAATTCCAGGTGTTGTGGATTTAGACTACAAAAGAGACAATGCTGCAATAAAGTAGGGCGTTAATATTAACTATCAAAAGCTAAGGTGCAAAGGGGGGAAGCGGTGCGTTGCACTCCAGAGAGGTCGGGGTGTGGATCCTAGGGAGCCAGGGCCCATGGTACCCGAAAGCATCCGCACTGAAGATTCTCCGTTTTTAGGTCTCAAGGACCCCCAAAGCACTACAAAAAGGGAGCTGGACTCACGACTTTTTTTTTTAGATAGTTTCGAAAAAACCAATTAAGTAAAATCCCAAGTATCATATTTTACACCCCCTCCCGAGGCAGTGCAAACCCGTGATAGGGATACCTGCTTGAAGCCACAATATGGCGGGGATATTGTGGAGGAGTTTTGGTAGCGGCGGCTGGGGTCCCTTTTTAGCTTTTGGGTTCCTAAAAGGTCGCCGTGATATGGTGGAATTCAGGCCGATTAGTTATTGCCACAGCGTTGTGCCCCCTGCAAGGCCAGCAAGGCCAGCGATGCCAACCTCCAGAGTTAACAATCTTGCATATTAAAAGTACAAATTCCGGATTCCGAATCCCTACCGAGGTATGTATGGCAAAGAGAGAAGGGATCGGCGGTTCAAGCTGGATATATTAGGCGGTGACTCTGGCTCTAAGCCAGAACGTTTACCGGTGCGGGGAGGTCGCGACTCCCTGCCTGTATTTCGGTGTATGGACCCTTGTGCTCCAGGGCTTTGTAGTGGATATCGAGCCTACGATACAGGGCCTTCGGGCTTGGTAGCTGGGGGCGAACCCGCAGCACGCGGCTCCCGCGGCGGAGATGCCTTCATTTGGGCCGGTATCTCGTGACTCCAATCTACAGTAGCAGTCCTCCCCCGTATCTTTTCATTCTGCTTTCTGATGGCAGCCCCAGTCTTGGCAGGCTCGGTTTTTGCAGTCTCGGCCTTGGCAATCTCTGTTTCGGCAATCACTCTCTCGACAACCTCTCTTTTGATAATCTCTCTCTCGGCTGCCTTGCGTGGCCTGGGCCGCTCCCAGTTTCCGTCTTCTTTCGCCGCCGCATCCTCGAGCATCTTGATGAGCTTGGTCTTCAGTGGGATCTCGTAGTACTTGATGTCCTCTGCCAATCCCTCCTCGCCGTACTTGATTGCAGTCTCCATCTGGTCATTGAGGCCCCGGAGCCTCTCCTCTGCGAACTCCAAGGCGCGTGCGAACCGTGAGGTAGTTCTGGGGCTGCCTCTTTCATCGGCTCGGGTTTGGGCGGCACCTGCCTGCTCGTTCCAGCCGCCGGCTTGATCATGCAGCGGCGACAGCTCCGTGTCTTCCCATGACCTTTGAGAGCGAAAATCACTTGCCAGTGCAGCATCCAGCCGGGGCCTGTCTGTGGCTACAGGCGAGCCGTATCTGGGTCTCATCATCGGGGCCGGCTTCTCCCAATGTCTGCTACTGTGCTCGTCAGTTGCGAGCCGACGACTGGGCGGATACCACCCGCCTGGTGGAGGTGGGTCTCGGGAGGGTGTGGCAATCTTTGGACCAGAGCCTTGAGGCTTCTTGGCGAGGTTGCGAGCAAGTGATTCTTTTATCCGTCTGTGGTCGCCCTCGTTTGTCTCGTTTTGGACATAGCTCTCGGAATTTTCGACACTTGTGAGCCTCGCCAATAGCTCGACTTGAGACTCAACCCGGTGACATCCGTGGTAGCACGACAGGTAGGTTAGCTGTTGACCCTCGATGTTGCCTCGCTTTGCCTCGAGGTCAGCGAGATCCTGTAGGAGTGCTGACGGCTCCCCAGATCGTTGGATCAGCAGCCTCAGGCAAAGCACCTGAGTTCCAAGGTCCCCAGTCTCCTTAGCCAAGCTGAGCGCTGCCTCGATCGGCTCGTTGGCCGTGGGTGCAACATCGAACCACTCCCGGAACGGAATCTCGTCGCTCCTGGGGCAGTACTTCTGCAATGCGAGGAGGCTGGTACTGCGAAGGTAATCTTCTTGTCTCACCGGGAATTGCTCGCGGCCTGTCAGCGCAGTTTCGACCAGAAGCCAGAGGGCAAAAGATCGGCTGCGCAGCGCCGTGGGCGCGTGGTGCGTCATTATGATCTTTGCCAACTCCTTCGCGTCGGCTCTGTCCCGTGCCATCCAAGCACCGTCCGTTAATGGGTCTGCAGTCCGCAGCAGGGTCGAGAGCATGTCGAGGTGGGCCAAGCTCGCTGATTCATCATGGATGAACTCTTGCCATGAGATAGTGTAGTCCATGGCGCCCCTGGAGGACATCTTTTTTGCGAAATCTTGGTAGCCGAAAGCAGCAGCAGCCGAGCACACGACATCTCGGAACTCCCAGTCCCTATGTGTGGCCAAGAGATTTCCTCCAAGCCCCTGCCAGTCCACCCAGTCCTCCAGGAGATACACAATCTCGTCGGGAAATGTATCCCAATATTCTTTGACCATTCGCAGTGTGAGAGTTACTATGCGCACCTGGCAGGTTTTCGTGTTAGTATTAATGCGGTATGGTTCCTTTGTGGACTGCTTATTAATGCCCACACATACCTCTGTCGTGCCCATATCAGTGCCAAACTTCAGATCCAACAGAGCACGGAGCGCCGGGTTTCGCTCCCACTTGTTTAGGAAGCGACATGGTTCTCTGCGCAGAAGCGCGGAAGCGTGTATGAGCATGAAGCTCCGGTGCAAGAGCCTCACCGGCTCAGATGGATGCAGTTCGTAGCGTTCAAAGACGATCTTTGGGTCCAGGCTCAGAACAGATTTGTAGTCTCCTGACTCCAAGTACATTTCAGCAAGCTGGACAAAGATGTACGGGTCGTCGACATGGGCCGCGAGTGTGTTGCGGAAAAAAGCCCGTCCATCTTTAAAGGCCCCCAGGCGAGTCAAGCGGGAGAGCTCTTCGAACTGGCCGTCCAGGTCTTGGGTAACGGGGAGCTCAAGATGGACTGTGGTGTTGGACTGTTGGTGGTTGAAGACCGTCTGGTAGGCGTAGTCCGCATCGTTGGTAGAATTTGGTGCCCTTGCTCGTGAGGGCGAGACCTCGCGAGAGCGATTCCTTTTACCGAAAAAGTTGCGAGTGAATCGTGGCTTGTCTGGGTCCGCTGGGGAGAAGTCCAAAGGTGGCAGCAGTGGTAGCTCCGGCGACGGAGGTGCAGGCGACTGTGGTACCGGCGACTGTGGTGCCGGCGACGGAGGTGCCGGCGACGGAGGTGCCAGTGACGGCAACGGCGACGGCGCAGTCCGTTGGGCTTCTGCTAGCCTGCCGCTGTGAACCAATGCTCTAGACGGAGAACTGTCCTCCCGTTTCCCGATCCTCCCAGAAAGAAAGTGGTCTCCCAGATATTCCACGAAGTCAATTGAGGCTGGTGACTCGACACGCTGTGGAGGCACGTTTTGGACGTCGCCCAGGTTGCCTGTTTCGCCGGACATGCTGGTGTGGCAAGGAGCAGACTTGTTGCCCCTGGGACGGTTTGGATATGGAAGCAACGCCGGGCCTTTTGAAGCGCAGCCGGGGCTGGAAGTCTGGACAGACTGGAAATCTGGAAGGACGGGAAATCTGGACGGACTGCAAATCTAGACAGGCTGGATATTTGGACAGGCTGGACATCTGGACAGGCTGGGAGATAATACGACATGGGGCAGCGTCGCTTCACACCCTCACGTCCACCACCACAGCCAATTGGAGCCCAACGCGACAGCATGCTAAGCGATTGGCTCCATGACGCCCTCAGAGTTTACAGTCAAGCTGCGTCTTCTGGTTCCCACAAATGCGCTTATGCACCCCTTCGGATCCCTCCAATCCGTTCCCCGAGCACAGCCTTGCCACCCAGCCACTTGCCGACGTCCAGCATACATTTGTAGCCTGCCCCCCGACTGCTGCCGTCGTCATCTTCCACCATCGTCATCCCCCAAGAGACCCTCTTCCCAGCAGCGCCCGCGATGCTTCAGCTTCCCGGCCAATCGATGCTGGGCGTGGCCAACCCAACGTATCCCGAGCTCAGCTCGCCGGGTCCAAAACGGAAGTACGGACGACAGGACTATGGCAGATTTGACAACATCTGCTTCGACAGCGCCTCGATTGGCGGATCATTGTTGGGAAAGGTGAACGTGGACGTCGGGCTCCGGTTTGCGAAGTCGAAATGGGGCTTCTTCCGCGGCTGCACCCCTGGTGGAATTCTTTATATCGACATCGACATACAGCAACAAGCCGACTGCAAGATCGATCAGGCCACAGTTAAGATTGTTTTGAGAGACAAGGAGTCCGGCGTGGTCTCGAAATATCCAACCCAGGTGACACCCTTCTTCGGGCCCAAGCATCTCACCGGCACAGAGAGACTTGAGCACAAGGAGTCCAGCTTCCAACTCCAGCCGTCTGTACAGTTCATGGGGACCGGTCTTTCGGGGCTGGGCGGCTCCTCCAGTGCAAAAGCCGACAAGGTTTACCACTGGGATATTCGAGGTCAGCGGACCAACTCCAAGGCAGCGGCCGGCATTCTCGGCCTCCACTACGACACTCTGGAGTGGAAGATGATTGAGAACAAGCTGGAGGGTCGAAGTGGCAACAAGATTTGTACGGCATTCGCTTTTACTCACAGCGGCCATGAGATCCTCATGGACGTCATCGTGGAAGGGAAACTGAGCTCCAAGACCGACCGGCTTCGCGAGGGCGTCAAAAGGCTCAAATTCCGACCAAATGCGGGCAGGAAACCAGGCCAGATATCGACAACCCTCATCGGAGTCTACTCCGGAGAGCGGCCCCAGCTGGACATGCTGGCTGCCGGACTTGAGCACGACATGGTGAGGGAAAACTACATCTCCCAACCTGTAATGATGCCAAAGCCGCAACAGTCGTCGTTTCGACAAGAGCCAGCCGGGCGTCCGCCCGAGACTCAAGGAGCGCTCACCTCAGCCGACGAGCGAGCTCAACAAGCAACGCCTGTACTTCAGCAACCCCACCCACTTCCTGAATCCGGAAGCATCAAGCTGCTAGATCCAACTGTGCAAAGGCTTCTCTGCGCCGGCCAATCTCTTATCAGATCTCCAAGAGATATGATCTTCGAGGAGATGTCCGATCAATGGGACGAGGCAGACACCCCAAGTCGGTCGTTGTCGCCCACAGTTGTGGACAGTGGCAGAGTGAATGAGATATTAAAGGATGAGCTGCCCGAGGACACCGAGTCCTTCCACTCGTTCGTCACTGTGGAGGATAAAGAGAAACCTGAAGGTGGGCTACCTCGCCCTCTAGCTTCGAAGCCTGAAAGCCGAATGGTGTTGAGAAGTAGGCTGCTCGAGGACCGCATCATCACAGAAAACCAGTTGAGCATACTGGGCGCCTTTGCTATCGGTGCGGTCATATCCTACATCATGGCCATGCTGCGTCAAGGAACTACAGAGCGGTGAATTGATAGGGGAAGGAATAGGAGTAGAGCAGAAGCTTGTATTTAAAATACAAACACCACTACCAGATCTGCAGCGATGGAACGGAGTGACGCAAAGGGTCGAATAATTTGTTGGAGGAAGGCGGACCAGCAAGAAAGGATCGCGTCATGGGTATTCTGGAAACCCACCTGATGGTCAAATCGCCCGCCAAAATTTCTTTGTTCGCCGGGAGAACAGCAATGATAGACCCGACCCGAGATCCCTTGGCGACTAGGCACCAGCCGTTAGCCGAGAGGGAGGCACCGCTTTGCATATTATTATACTCTCGGCCCCCCACGAACCCGGTAACGTTTGGCACCCAGCAGGGGTAGTCATCAAGCGAGCCAACCCCCGTCTCCAGCATCTCCAGGCGGTCGTAATGGCAGACCAAAAATCTGGCGTAGCTGAAAGCAACATCTACAAAGCTTCTTTCGTAGTCAGGACGAAAACCAGACGGCATTGGTATTGGCAGGTTGATCATGCCTAGTATGCCAGGTACGGGGGTGCACTATGACACTACTGGATATTTGACTGTTCTCTTGTTCTATCTAGGAAGGGAATATCTGTTGGCAATTTATACAGCAGACCATTCCATGCGATGTGGGCTAGTTAATTATATGGACGGGGCCTTCCCCATTTAGGCGAGGGCAGCTACCGTGGGAGCGCCCAGGGATGCACAAGCACACCCCAGCGTAAGGTGCTATAGTAACGTCAGTTTGTGACTCCTACTTCTCGAATAAAACATGCTCGGCTGTCAACCAAGGGGAGTCAAATCCTTGCTCGTAATGGTCATTCTTGCCACAGACCCCAGTCGTGCTGACTGGGGTCTAGGAACGCAGCATCCGATGATAACGACAGATCGGCAGCCGAGAAAATGTTAAAGTGGCCCTCGCCCCCTCCTAACCCGGGCGTAAGCTCCAGCAAGGCTGGAAAGCAGTCGCCACCCCAGAACGGTGATAGAAAATTGTCGTGACCTTGTGGCTGGTGCTGGTGGTCTTCGGATGGGCCCACGCCTGGTGCTGCTGCTTCCATCGTGGACACCGACCGCTCCGACGACGGAGTCGGCACCACCGATGCAGACGGTAACCCTCGCTCCAGGTGTGCGTGCCGAGCCGGGGGTTCCGCCGTGCCTGGAGGCAGTTGGCAGGTGCGGTCTCGCCGCTGCTCTGCCAAGGGCCCAGACGTTGCAGGCCTGAGGAGCACCCTTCCAAAGTACGGTATCCGGATCTCCTGGACGCTAGCCGCCGGCCGCCGCTTTCCGTAAAGGAGTTCGAGTATCTTGCGGCACTGGCCATGGAGACAGTTCCTGCGCGACCCTTCCTCATCATCCTGATCCAACGCCTCCTGCTCCAGCCTCTGAAACATTGCCAAGGCGCCCACCATCATGTCCTGCCTCGTGAGTTCATACACTTCCTGGATGCCCGGCCGCGGCGCACTACCCTGACTATCAGCTCCCGTCCCTCGTGGCGAAGGCTTGCAGAGGGCCAGCACCACGGCCGCGGTGAAGGCGACAAAGTCGGATGTTATGCTCTCAAACGCCGGGCTTGGCCCTTCCCTGAGTGGCAAGTATCTCTGCAGCAGGTTCGACGCCGCCGCGGCGCATTCCGCGGACGAGGAACTTGACAGGGTCGGCAGGTGAATGTACATGGCCGTGTGGAAGTAGAAGACCTGTAGGAGGAGGCCGGCGACTGCAAAATCTAGCGCCAGGCCCGGCCCCGCCGGAAGCGACGCAGGCATATCCCACCAGCCATCGGGTGGCAGCTCCTCCAGCTCCCTCAGCGCCTGCGGGAGCGAATCGTCCTTATCCATGCTCCCGGGTGGTGTGCAGCCTTCCGCTAACCCAAAGGCATTCCGGTCGATGACCTTGCCCGCGAGGAGTGTGCACTCGCGGACAAAGTGCTCCATCCAGGCGCTGCCGCCATCATTACCCGTCGTCCCGGGCGAGCTTTGCGGCTGGCCCAAGCTCGAGACGTGATAGGGGTTATGGAATCCGCGGGGAAGACCAAGAACAAGGCTGGCGAAGAGGTCGCCGTGGTACACTGCGTACCAGAGGCGCGTGTGTGATGGGGGCAAAGTCGCAGCTAGCCGGTGGAGGCCCTATATTGGAGGATGGTCCCAAGTAAGCTGATACGTGTCCCACAGTTGATTCCGAACATTGGATGACCACATACCATCATCTGAGCGATACCGAGACCCTTGCGCCAGAGAAACCACGCCCGCCTCGGCATCCCGGCGTCCATGTAGCAGTAAGCTAGCAGCACCAGGCACTCTAGGCCCTCGCCGGTGGCAGCATACACCATGTCCGACAGGACAAGGTTCTCGACATCGCCGTAGATCTTGGCGGCGCTCATGGCGCGACGGCCACTGCCGCTGCTCCCAGCCTGCAGGCTCCGCGCGTAGGCCACGGCCAAGGTGCCCACCAAGGCTGGGCTGGCGACGCTAGTGTAGGCGCGGGCGGCGAAGCTCTCCAGCGGCTCCAGTGGATCCTCCGGGCCCCCGCCCGCCCCGGGCTGCAGCGCCCGCGCGGGGTCGAGGGTCTGCATCTTGAGGCGGAAGCTCCGCCACCAGCAGGCGCCGCCCCCGGCGGTCGGCAGGGCGGCGAGGACCTCGTCGTAGGCGGGTATGGCGGAGCGGAGGGCCCGGCACATGTCGACAGCAGGAGCAACTGCTACACGGCTGCTGCCGGTGGTGCTGGCACAGGTGCCTGAGGTGTGCAGGGCCGACATTATGGGTGCGTCAGAAACAGGATCCTGGTGGCTGCTTGACTGCTTCCCACCGTTGATGGGGATGAGAGAGATGTCGGCAACTGGAAGTTCCCGTTGTGATTTTCCCTCCTGACCATGAGGGGAAACTATCGAGGCCGAGACCTGTCTCCTTTTCAAGGCAGAAGAACCTCGCCGGGCAGCATGGGCTATCTCTCCTGGTGCGACATCCCGTTGGTCGATGCATCGCGATCCACGGGCCTGGCAGGGAGAACAAACCTGGTCTGGCGGGTTGAAGATGCATCTAATCTTCCTCCGTCGGCCTGGCCATGTTGCACTCAATTAGCAAGTGTTGCAGCCATGTCAATAAGTCCGAGCGAGCAAAAGTCCTGAAAGAGTGCGGACGAACATTCCGTGCAGCTCCGGGTCCCTTCTCGCATGCGCTTCCTATCCATCTATCTCCCCGAAATGCGCTCGCAGCTCGCGACGTCGTGAAACCGGTGGCTTATTTCCCTCCGCGCACGAAAAGGAAAGGCAGGGGCGGACGAGAAACGGACCAAGACGGACGAAAGGTCGGAGGTGAAAGATACAATTGGTGGCTCTGACTCAGCGCCCAAACCACTGCTTGACGCTGTAGCCCCTGGAAGAGCCAGGCCGAACTTGGACAGACCGTAAGCCTAATGTTCCGTGGACGCCGCTTCGTCCGTCTGGAGCGGACACCGAGCAAGCCTCATGATCTGTGCCGACAATACTGACATCGTATAGGCGGATCGCAAAGACTTGCCCTCAGTATTCAGGATAATGATCATGTATAAAGATGCTAGGCAAGTCTCTTCGAGATGTGCTTCTTTTCTGTACTCATCATCATCCTCTCAAATCTTGCAGCAAGCAAAGATCACCAATCTACGAACATCAGACTCAACTCTCGAGTTAGCCCCTTCGTGACGTTCAAGATCCACAAGCCCCTCAAAGGCACTTCAACAGAACATACCTTTTAAACTACTAAATACTTATCACCAGCAATGGCTCCCCTCGTCTGGCTCGTCACCGGCTCCACGTCGGGCATCGGACTGGCGCTCATCTCGGAGATCACAGCCCGTGGTGATAATGTCATCGCCGCTGGCCGCAAGGTCGAGCAGCGCCTCAGCCACCTCAAATCTGACAATGTGGCCCTCCTCGAGCTCGACATCACGGCCGACCAGGCCGACATCTCGGACGCCCTCGCAGCGGCCTGGACCATCTTTGGCGGCGTCGATGTCCTGGTCAACAACGCGGGCATGTCGGCCCTGAAGCCGGCCGAGGAGGCCACGGCCGCCTTTGTCGACAACATGTTCCAAGTCAACCTGTTTGGCCACATGCGCGTCGTCCAGGCGGCCCTCCCACTGTTCCGCGCCCGCAGCCCCGGCGAGTTTTCCGGGGAGACGGGACGCATCGCCTTCACGTCATCCAGCATTCTGTGGGCCCCCCTGCCTTTCATGTCGCACTACGCCGCCTCCAAGGCGGGGCTGAGCGCATACGTAGAGGCGCTGCACAAGGAAGTGCGGCCCCTGGGGATCCGCTGCGTCGCCATCGAGTGCGGCGGCTTCCCCACCAGCCTGGGCCAGCCGCGCGAGGGAGGGGCAGGGGAGTCGTTTGGTGCCAGCGGGCCGGCCATCGAGGCCTACGGCCCGCTGTTCGGCACGCTCATGTCCAAGTTTGCCACGAACCCCATGGCTCACATGCCGGGGGACGTGGGCAAGGCGGCCGCCCGCATCGTCGACATGCTCAGACGCGAGGGCTTAGCGGCAGGCAAGCCTTGGGCGGTGCGCGTGGCGCTCGGATCTGACGGCATGGGGTCGGCCAAGCAGCGCTGCGAGCAGCAGCTGAAGCTCGTCGAGGGCTGGAGAGACCTGAGCTTGAGCACCGACCGGGAAGATGGGAATGGAGAGTCGGTGGCTCTCAAAGAGATGTTTGAGTTCAACAACCTGTTGGAGGAGGACTAGCACTTACATGCTGCGGCCTGCGCAATGATTGCGCCAGCGGGTCTTGAAAGAGGTACAGATCTTATAACAGACTTTGTGATTTACTGATTTTGGGTGTGCGCGGAAATATACCCATCCAGCCAGTTGTCAATGCTTCTCCATGACAGTTGAACTACCGGCAATACTCCATTGTTGTTCTTTCGCCTGTCGTCTGGCTCGATCTCAGGCTCGGGCTGGTGCTCCATCAAACCCCCGGTCACCTCAAGCAAGAGCACCGGGTGTTGTCGCCGCGTTGGCGAGCATCTCCAAGATTCCCGGACTAGCTGGCCTCAAGTGTGCTCGTATCGGCCCTGCTCTCCAAGCCCACTCCATTGAAAAACGAGGGCACCAGCTGGATGTTTCCAATAACGATAGCCCCTGCCAAGGAATCCTGGGCCGCGGTTGGATGACGAGGAAGGTTGCAGAATTGGCGGTGGTTGACGTCGTGGGTGTTGGAGGGGCTAGGATCAGTCGCGGACACCAGAGAATCCATGCCATCGTTGTCGCAGCGTACGCTGGTGCTCGATATGGCCGCTGTACACGTCGGCGAAATGCTGTCGAAAATCCCACCACATTCCCAGCGGCGACGTCCCCGAAAACCCCGTTTAGCATCGCGGCCTTCTCTACGCTATTTTCCATGCTGCTATTTTTCTAGCAGGACTATTCAAGCACCAAGCGTAGCATATCAGTGGTAACAACATGGCAGTATCGTTTTCGTCGCGGCTGTCGGCGGCAGGGGCGCACTAGCCATATGTGTGATAGATTTGTGGCTTGGCAGCCCAGGCCCGGCCATTTGGCTCCCTGGCCATTTTATCCCGTGCTCGTCTAGATCAAGTGTCCTGCTGAAGCTCCCTCCCGAAAGCTGGGACTTACAGCACGTGCCAGGGGTTGCTCCCGTACGGGCTAGCTTTACCAACTATCGTCTAGCCAGCCATGTTCTTCAGCGCTTGGCAATGTTGAAAGTGAGCCCACAATATTTTCAGCCAGCCTCAAAAGCAATGGATACGGGAAATGTTATGCCCTGGAGACAAGGGAAACGTAATAAAGGTCTGTGCATGGCCTTGGCAGAGCCGGATGCCATCCTACCTCTGATGGCTCAAGGGATACACGGGTCAATGTGCGTGTGGAAAGAAGAGAAAGGGGTGGATTGCGCAGGTATAAGAACACTCTCTTCCATGATGCTTTGCCTTCTTTCTGCTGCGTGTTCTCCAAGCTCGTCTGTTTGCAGATTATCCCCGAGACTCATTCTACCTACCGTCGAGGGCAACAGTCCAGAATCTTCTAGCATCACCCCTTGGCTTACTCGCACGCATCCGCCATTTTCACCATGAAGGCGACATTCTCTCTTGCCGGCCTCGCATTTGCCGGTGCCGCCTTGGCCGGCTACTGTAACAACAACTGTGGACGCGCCGTTGCAGGCACTGCCAAGGGTGACACCTATGAGGCTCGCCGGTCCGAGTGTGCTGCTTTTCTGGCCACGACCACCACGGTCACCCCTACGTAAGAACTCTACCTTTTAAACAAAGCAACCGACAGGATTACTGATCTCCTTTTTGAGCGTCAGTACTGTCACTGCCACCACCACCCTGGCGCAGGCCCCGGCCGTGACCGAGAGGAACGTCCACGGCCGCCGCGACCAAGCCGCGGGGGCCAACGACGCTATCCCCACGTTCGCCTCCATGTGCAAGGACGTGACGGCCTATTGGAACGCCTGCTACTGCTTCGCCGGCATGACTTCTACGACGGTCACCGTGACGGCCCCGACCCCGACCTCGACGGTCACCGAGACGCCCGCCCCGCCGGCCGCGCCCACCTGCACCCCGGGCCTCGAGTGGGCTGCCTACTACTTCGACCGCGCCTCGGACAAGGGCCAGATGCTGTGGCGGACCGCCGCGCAAAGCGTCAACAACCTCAACACCCCGCTGATCCTCCAGGGCGCGACGCCCCTGCGGACGGGCGTGACTGAGGCGCCTGGAGTCGTCTTCCAGACCAACTACAGCCCCGGCGTGCCCTTCAGCGCCTACGGCAGCCCCATCCCAGGGACCAACATTTGGGGCTCGCTCATTGTGCACCGCGGCTACATCCGGGCGGGCAGGTCGGGCACGTACAGCATCTACATGCCGCACGTCGACGACACGCTGGTGGCGTGGATCGGCGACCGCGCGCGGTCCGGCTTCACCATCGCCGACGCCACCTTCAAGCTCAACGAGAATTCCATCCCGCCTTCAAGGGCTTGGTCCTTCGACCTCGCGGCCGGCGACGTCGTGCCCTTCCGTCTGTTCTGGTCCAACGGCGGCGGGCCGGGCGGGCTGAACATCCAGATCCGCGACCCGGCCGGAAACGTCATCTCCGGCCAGGGCGCTGCCGGCAGCTCCCAGATCATCACCTCGTGCTCGGGTGCGGGTGCACCGGCGGCCGCGTCAGCTTGGCCCGCGTGGGAGAGCGAGGTTGTCGGCGGAGTTCCAACGTGAGGTGTGGTGGGAAGCAGGTTCTGTGCTGCTTGGTCTGGCAAAGAGGGGTTGCATCATTCACCTCTGAATATTAATAACTAATTTGGAATCGTCAAATTATGCCAATCGGTTGTATCGTTCATGCTTGATCGTCACTGAAGTCATGACGCATGACGAGATGAAAGCCGAAGGTTGTGGGTCAACACAAGTTTTTTTTCTTATTCCTTCCCCACTTTTTTCTTCTTCTTTTTTTTTTGATAACAAAAAACGTGTCGTCAAATTAATAAATGTGAAAGAATTCCACGTCGAAAGACTTCATCCCTAAACAAGCGCTGCCAAACATTATCGGCGAATAGCCGGGGTCGATTTGAACCTTTTCCGACTTCCAAAACTGCTCAACGGTTTGGAGCTCCGAGTCGATTTGCTTACATGCCCCTACAAGGAGCACTTTGTCATCCACACGCCTAAGCACTAGAGGAAAGTAAGAACCTGGCGAAACAATAATCATGTCTCCAACATTCGCTTTGCAAGGTTGCCAGCTCTCGCCCCTAATAGTGATAGGCCCGCTTCCGCCGTCGCCGATGTTGTGTCGCACCCCAGCAGCTTCGTATCCGAACAGGCGAATTGTTCCCTCTTTGTAGCCCCCCACCCACGTGTCGTTGTTGAGGGGAACATTCTTAACTTCGGTAATGTGCCCGACGCGCCGGCCCCTAATTACAAGCACGGGATCCGAGTCGTCCTGCTGCCAACGCGGCTCTCCCCGCCCCTCCTCGAGAGCTGGGAAACCCTCGTGGGCGCAAAAAGTGCCGGACTGGTAGCGCATGGCGGCTATGTGATGCTGCTGGTTGGTGGTGAGATCAGCCACCCAGGAAGGCAGGTGGTGGCATCCCACATCGCGATCCAGCGATTCGACCGCGGTGAGGTACGTCAAAGTCCGCCGCATCATTTTACGCGCCGTAGACGTGTAGAGCTGGTGCTTGGTTAGGCTGTAGTCTGGGCGGATGCCGTGTACGGCGTTGCTGAGACCCGCAGGCCGAAAACCTTATCTCGCGGATCAGTCGCGCCTTGCAGCCGCGCCCGTTCGAGCATGTAGGGTAAGTCGCTGCCGTCGGCGGGGGAGGCGTAGCCGTTGGCCTAGAGCCCGCGCCAGTCGCGAATCGTCCTAGCGGGCGGGGACGTGCCGCCCTTGCTCAGCAGCCAAAAGCGGAAGATGTCGGTCACGTCGGCCTCGAAAGGCTGGAAGCGACCGAAGGTGTCGTAGAACCCGTCCGTGAGCCGCACGAGGTGAGGCATGAAAAGTGCCCGCCATTCGAGTTGGGCGGACATATCTGCCGCGAGGCAGAGATCGTCCAGGGATACGGGCTCAAGGTCGCCAATGTGGACGGCGACGCCGCGCGGGTGGATGACTTCCTGGAGGATCCAAGTACGCGACCACCACGGACGCGCAAAGAGCTTTTGGCAGGCAGATCTGGCTGCAGCGTTGTAGCCAAACGGATCCGGGACGATTTCGGCATGTGCAGGTTTGTCGTCCGTTTCGCCGTAGCCATCGTTCTTCTCCTTTTCGGCATTTTCAAGAGCCACACTCACGCGAAGCTCTTCGAGTAACTCCACTTCGGCCTCCGCTTCGGCCGCCTCATCAAGCTGCTGTAGCAGTTCCTGCGACTGTGTCTCCAAGTCGATGAGTTGGTTTCTGCTTTCTAGATCCGCTTTGCTATCCTAATCCCCAACATGCCGTGAGAGTTGCGGAAACGCTTTACGGCAATCACCGCGTCAAGGGCCTGCACAACAGTCGTCCTGATCACGGCAATGCTTTGGCCCAGTCCCATAGCTCCAGACATGCGTCCCAGACAGTTGATCATGCGATTGACGCGCTGTACTAACGCGAGGGCGCTATGGAACGCTGGGTGGCTGGCGTCGGCGAGAACGTGGAGCGAGGCTGTGCTTGGGGCCCAAATTTCAGCTGGACCTGCAACGCCTCATCCGCTATAGGTTACTTTAGGATCGACGCCAGCGACCCGGTTGGCAGTTGGCAGGTGGCAGGGTCCGGCCGGCGCAACGCTTTTTTAGGAGCTGGAAAGGACGCGCATCGTCGATGCGGCTGAACTCAACAGCCAGGCCCTCCTGCCCTACCAAGCACCGTTTCCTTTCGTTTATTATTACTGTTTTTCTGGTGTTTGCACTGGGAGATTTTCTGGCCCGCCGCAGTGACGTCACCAATGAACAAGTTCGAATGCTGCTCCTCGTGGCCACACAGTCACCCGCTGAGTCGAGGCAAGCCGCATAGATTCTCAAGATGGAATCGGCCGGCCTCCGCCATCGCTCGCGCGAGACGCCCAAGAAACAACCTGGCGCGACATCGACGGCAACAACCGTCGAGATCTCCGAGGTGAAGTCCCCCAGCACGGGCAGCACCAGCACAACCGCATTCCAAACGCCGCCGCCAGCGCGGGACCATGGCCACGACCCCTTCCCGCCCATCACCCTCCGCGCCCCGTCGCACAGCCGCGACGAGGACGCGGTCCAGCCGCCGCGCTTCACCATCGACCTGAGCGAGGCGCCCGAGCGGCGGTACAGGCACGTGGCCGACCACATGCGGGAGGCCGTGGTCGTGTCGGACCTCGCCGACCTCTTCGACTCGCTGGTCCGCGACGTGGCGCCGGGACCCCTCGCGCCGGCCCTGCACGCCCTGGCGCGCCGCGTGCTCCGCCACCTGCACTGCGCCGAGGAGACGGCGGAGCTGCGCGGCATCGCGGCCGCCTCGGGCATCGCCCTGCACCTGCTGGTGGCCTTCAACGTGCTCCTGGACCTGCTGCTCGGCTGCTCCAGCGGTGGCATGCGCGTTGTCTGCCCCGGGCCCGGTGGCGCCGGCGCGCCGCCCTCCTCCCGGATCCTGCACTTCCGGACCCTGGACTGGGGTATGGAGGAGCTGCGCGCCCTGACGGTCGAGCTCGACTTTGTCAGGCGGCCCGGCGGGCCCGTAGTTGCGACCACCGTCACCTACTTTGGCTATGTGGGCGTCTTGACGGGCGTGCGCCGCGGGCTCAGCATGAGCCTCAACTTCCGCCCGCACCACGACCGCTCCACCTGGCGCCGCCGGGTCGGCTTCCGCTGGCACCAGGCCATGGTGGTGCTCGGGTTTCGCCAGAGCGTGTCGAGCGTCCTGCGCGCGCTGCTCCTGACGCCCGACCCCGAGCTTGATGGGGATAGCATCCCCGCCAACGCAGAGATTGCCGTGAGACGTCGGAAGTGGTGGGCGCGAAAGCCCAACATAACTCGTGCCGCCCACAGCAGCCAGTCCCGAGCCAAGCCTCGTGTCACATCGCCCATCATCCCTTACATCAAGAATCACCTCCCCGCCACGCGCTCGACGGCGGCGTACCTCATCTTCTGCACCCCCGACGAGGCGCGCACGCTCGAGAAAGACAACGGCCACGGCCAGTTCCACTCGTCGCGCCGGTTCCACGCGACGTACAACCACGACAAGGCGGACGAGGCGGACCCGCGGCGGCTAGCGCAGGCAGCCCACGGCGCGGCGGAGGAGGCGGCGGGCATGGGGACGATCGTGGAGATGTCCATCAGCAGGGCCGGGGGCATGGATCGCCACTTCCGGCGCGCGTCCAGGAGGCTCAAGGCCAAGTCCAAGCCCGGCAGCGCGAGTAGGAGAAGCACCGGCAGCAGCGCCGACCACGCGCACGGCGACTGCAGCTGCGAGGTGGGCCCGGACGATGTGCTCAGGCTGGTGCTGGACCCGGACATCTGTAATGAGGAGACACACTACGCCGTCGTCATGGACCCGGGTCTGGGGAAGGTGCTCTGGCGGAGGGCGTTCCCGCTCGAGTTTCCCGCTGAGGTTGACGGCACGGACGAACTCCCAACGGGGATGCGTTTCCCTGACAACATATCTTTGTAGCCCGCAGTCTGGGTCGGTTGCTGGGTCGCTACAACACTCTAGAACGATACACATTATTGGATTGAGGTCCATCTAGAATAATTGAAAAGTATTGTGTAAAACATGACATTATGGCAGTGTCTCAGTCAAGCGTGAATTGACCACCTATGTATGTGGCAAATGGCTGGGCCGACGCCGCCGCAGTACAGCAGACTTTGCGGTAGGCGGCCATGTGTATGCAATATGTACAGAGAAGTAGAGGGAAAATAAAAGTAAAACAAGAGGAGAGAGAGAGAGGAGAAGCAAAGTGAAGAAATCAAGAAGATGCCATGTCAACACTCTGATGCTAAAACACACTTTGCCCCTTTTTGCTACCCAGTCCCCCAGCGGCCAGCTCGCCATCATCACGCACATGCATCTACAAGCTCGACAACACCAACAGGGCAAGCAGCCGACCCATCAGCCCGTTCAGAACGGCGGGTTCGCGTTGGTCAGCAGCTGCACAAAGTAGGCCTGGAACCACTGGCCGGCCTCGGGCGCGGGCTTGAGGGCGTCGGCCATGCCGCAGAAACGGTCGAAGCGGGCCGCAGTCGTGTCGCTGGTGCCGTCGCACTCGCCGCCGGGCTTGATCCACACAAAGGCGTCCTGGATCTCGAGCCCCGTGTTGGCCGACGGCCGCATGCCGAACCCGGTGCCCATGGCGTTGCACCAGTGGCCCCACTCGAGCTGGCCGGTCGGCTGCTTGCCGGACCTGCCCTGGTCCGTGATGAAGTGGGCGTTCCAGCCCTTTGCGGCCAGGAGCGGGTGGAAGGCCTCGACGTAGTGGCGCTCGTCGTAGTTTGGGTTGGGCGACGTGTAGGCCGGCGCCGACGTCAGGTTCCAGGAGTTGTAGTTTGCCACGTTGGTGGCCATGCCGCGCAGCTGCGACGGCTTGCCGGCGTCGACGTAGAGCTTGCCGAACAGGTCCGCCGCCGGCCCCAGGTTGGCCGGCCAGCCGAGCCAGCCGGCGTGCCCGCCGTCGAGGTACATGGCCACGTTGGGCAGGTTGAGCTGCTTGATGGCGTAGAGGGTGCACTCGCGGTAGGCCGCCTGCGCGTTTGCGCACTTGGGCACGTTGAGGTTGGTCACCATGTTTGCGAGCGAGTCGGGCTCGACCACGAGGATGGTGCGGATGTCGCTGAAGGACACGAGCTGCGCGCGGATCGAGTCGATGTAGGCCTTGTACTTGGCCACGCCGCCGTCGACGATGGAGTACTCGCCGTTGGAGGCGGCTGTCGTCCGTCTCTTTGTTAGCTGCTATCACGAGCAAGTGAATACATCCTTGATATCAATCTTACCTGCAGCGCAGTCGCGGTCGGGCAGGTCGTAGACGACAAACTGGGCGGCAAAGTTGCCGCCGGCCTTGTTGGCGGCGCGGATGGCGTTGAGCGTGTGCGGCATGCGCGTGCCCACCTTCGCCGCGATGTCGAACCACTCAAACGACGGCACCTTGGCCACGGCCGCCGCCTTGGTCGCCATGGCGCCCGACAGGCTGGGTATGGCCAGCGTGCTGATCTCGGAGGCGTAGTAGTCGTTGACCCAGAGGTTGACGCCCTGGAAGGGGTTGCCCGTGAAGGACGCCGTCGTGCCCGCGCCGCCGCCGCCCGACGTCGGCGTGCCACCGTTTCCACCAGTGGTCGTCGTGCCCCGTGAGGTGACGGTGGTGCTGGGGCCCGGGGCGCGCGTAGTGGTGGTCGGGCCCGACCGCGAGGTCGTCGTGGTCGGGGCCGGGCCGGAGCCGGGGATGCACTGGAAGTAGTAGTCGTTCTGCCTCACGCAGGTACTCCCGGAAGCGCAGCACGTAGCGCCGCCCCATCCGATGCCGCCGCACTGCGACCTGTTCACGTCAACGAGGTGGTCAGCACGAAAGCACAAAAGTCCCGCGTGCTTGGATGGTCCGGATGGCCTACCATTGGCTGCCGCATGACTGGCGCTCCTCGACATTTCCAAAGGGAACCGAGAGCACACCCTGCAGAAGGGCGGCCGCGAGAAGGATCTGTCTGCCAGCCATCGTGTGTATGCTCGTGGGCCTGACTGAGGTACGGGTTCAGCTCGAGGTTGTAGAGGATGGACCAAGGAGATGTTTCAAGCAAGTGGCAGGGCGTCGGTTTTTTATTCTTGACGGTTCAGTCGTCTGTCTCATACTATCCTCCTTCTCATCACTCACCGCTGTGATAAAGGCACGGGGTGTCGGATCAACGGGAAGCCTTCCCTAGCCTAGCCTTGGTGCCAACTGACCAGTCGCCCTCTTTCCCGATAGTCAAGTGGTTGCCTCCACATCCAAGTTTCCCTGATACCCCTGACAGCTGCTGCAAAGTCGGAACCTGGGAGGGCCATGCCAGCCTGCCGAACTCCTTCCTGCATGCTCACAGAAAATTGCGACAGATTGGCCGCCGGTATCCGCCTCTGACTAGCAAGGAGGGGCCTGAGGGGAACGAAGGGAACTCCATCCGAAAAAGTGTCGCCACCCACGGAGCGCCGATCTCAGCAAGTCTCCCACAGTCGCTCGGCTCGGACGAGGAGAGGCTCATGATGACCGGACATGCGGCTTACCAACCGAGTGTCTGCTCAGAAGTCGTTCTGGCTGCCCGCCTGCCCGCGCGGGCTTGGGTAGTAGAGATCCGTTTGTGAGAAAAGTTCGGTCCAAAAAAGAAAACCCGCCAACCAGGGGTGGTGGAGATGCAGCCAAGTAGGGCGAGGTTGAGTCTGGGATTGATCAGCTGCGGGTATAATTTCGGAGGCCATCCTCCATGGTGGAGAATGCGGCCGCAAACGGCAGCAGATGCCACGGCACCCGCGGCGTGACGTTCCTGGTGCGGAGGAATTTGGGGTCGAGTGGGGGAGCCTTGGCAGGTCCGCCGTGCTTGCGGATCAGCCCTCGCCAGCGAGAATGGCCGCGGTGGACCGGTCAGGACATCACCCCGCGGGGAGTGGCATCAGATGTGGTGGAGCCGGTTTCCAGACTGGGAAGCCCAGCCTGAACCAAACTGATATCCTCGTTGTAGGGCGCCTCGACTCCCATGCTGGGACTGGCTGACGGTTTATGCCGGCTGTTCGGCGCGCGCACTGCTCCCTCTACACGCAAGAAAAACACTTGCATCGATGTGGTAGGGGAAGACAAAATAGGACGGGACGAGGCTCCGTCCAGACCCATACCGGACCAGAAAGTGCTTGCGTGCCATATCAGCACGGAGACGGGAATGCTCCCCAAGCGAATACAACCACCACCAGGATGGGTGCTGCAACTTTGGAAAGGGTGGTATCACGGCATGCAATGCCAAGAGACGTGACCAAGAGGCGGGCCTTGGTATTATCTTTTTTCACCTCACTGCTGTGTCGAGTCGAAGACGGTAGATAGCCGGCCGTCGAGGGCGCGGTCCAGTGCCTCCTTGACGGGGCCCACAAACTCTGCACCGCGGAAGAGAACACCGAGCTCCTGGCTGGTGTAGAAGCTAGCACGGTCCATATTACCCGAGCCCAGGAGCGCCATCCGCCCATCCACAATCGTGAGCTTGATGTGGGGATGAACCGGCTCCTCGGCCGCCTCGTCCACACCCATCTCTAGGTCCAAGGGGGTATTGTTGTTCCTGCCTGCTACTGCTGTCTTGGCCTGTGCGATTCGCGGTGGTCCGAAGTACGAAATGTGAAGCTTCCCAGGCTCTCCGATGTACGGCCGGAAGCTGGACAAGTCCTCTAGAGTGGCCGAGTCCGGACTCGCAGCGTATTCCTGTCCCCGTCTGCTGTGCAGTTGAACTGGCGAGTCGCGCGACCCAGGGGCCGACCCGCCGGACGCGGCTTTGTGCATCGCCTCATAGCGCTTGACGAGCGACCGGATACACAGCGCGGTCGTGGTTCCCGCCGTCACAAGCTGCTCGAGCAACATCATGTTGCGGCCTGTCACGATCCTGACGTCCACGCCTCGACGCAGGGCCTCCACCAGTGCGATCAATACGGGACGACATGTCAAGTTTGGCGTCTGTATATAGACCTGGTGGCGGGCCTTTTCCAGGAGCTGCAGCACGGCCACGTTGAGGGGTGTCTGCGGGGGAGGTGGAGGCGACCCAATCTGCCATGGGAAGGGCCGGAAACGTGGATTGCGATGGTGCGAAGACGGCAGAACTGTCGTTTCGACGGTCAAATCTTGTCCCCTGGCAACCGCCTGCTCCATGTCGTCTGGATCAGGGTACTCTTCGCGGCCAGTGGGTGCAAACAACACAACGCTGTCCGCCGTGCTTTGGACCACGGCCAGGCGCTCTGCGCTGGCGGATGGGCCGAGGAGGTCGGGGTCGAGGGACGATTCGGCGGCGATGGGCAGCGGCTCCGAGAAGTCGAACAAGGGATCCCACGTGCGGGCATAGAAGTGCAAGAGCGCGCCGACGGCGCCGCCCTCTAGCTCGACGCAGCCCTCCAGCCACGGCTCCCAGCTGACGTTGCAGCTGGGGAGGAAAGCGCGCTGGCGGTCGACGATGAGGAATTTCGGGTGCATGACGCTGAAGGGCAGGAAGAACAAGCTCTTGACATCCAGCTCGATGCGCGCAGTCTTGAGCACGAGCTCGTCCGGCAGCCCCAGCTCCGACGCCCATTTGGAGGGCGGGTATGTGTATCCCCGGCGCGACGAGGTGTGCAGCAGGCGCTGCATGAACGATCTCGAAGAGAAGCAGATGCGGACGCGCAGCGTCGGGAGGCTCCCCGCACCCTGGTCAAGCACGCGGCGGCGGTGGGTGGCAAGCGCTTCGAGGGCTTCGCGCAGGGCGTCGAGCGTTTTGGACGGGGCCCAGAAGCAGGTGACGAGGATGGCCTCGTGTCTGGCGCGCAGGATAGCGGGCAACAGGGTGCTCGTGTAGATGGAGGCGCCGGTGCCAAGGGTGAAGGAGCGTGGGCGGCTGCTCGTCACGAGCCGGCCCAGGTCGGCGGCGTCGGCGTAGTCGTACTGCGGCAGCTCATCCTGGCGGCGGCGCGCTTCGAGAGAGATGTTCTGGAGCCGGGCGACGAGCTCGTAGGCGAAGCTGCTCTGTCGCAGAGAGGACATTGTTGTATCTGGTTGGTTGTTTCGGGGATTTAAAGATAGTCAAGCGCCCGTTGTGGGTTGGCAAGTCGGCGCGGCGAGTGCATTCCTGCTGCGAGGGAACGCGCTGCGGAAGAGAAGGACTGGGTCGACGCTGCGAGAGGAGGCTGAGACAGTTGCTCAATGATGGTGACTGCTTGCTTCACTTGCCGAGTAGCCTTTAGCACCCTTCTCAAGCTGATGGGTCTTGGCAAGGACAGCACAAGTCCAGATTCCATTCCAGTCCCGCATCTCAGCGTCATTCCATGTCCTGCATGGCATGGCACGCGCCAAGTTCGTGGAGAATTACCCAGTCGCGCCAATGGCATCAAGCCCCGTGCCCAGCAGCCACATACGCCACAGCCGGAGCAAAAGCCCCGGACACGTTGGAAACCGGTTTGGTGGCGCGCCAAACCTGTTCAATCACATCGATTTGGTTCTCAAAGGGATTGCGTTCTGCGGACTGTGATGATTTGATATGGTGGTTTTCGGTAGCTCATTTATGGTATGACGAGTCACTAGTGTCTAAGTCGGATTAACGAAAAATGACTTACGCCCTGGGGATCATTCTTGGGCATTTCCAATATCCAAACGCGATGCGAAAATGCAACAAAGAAACAATTTGAAACGCCTGGGTGTTGACTACCGACAATTTTCACCCCTCTTCTCCGCAGCTCCCATCCAGCATCTACTGTGTTCGCCCGTCCTGGCTCTCGACGTCGCCAGGCCTCACACCCTCAACCTTGGACTTCCTGGGATGGCTGTGCCCGCCCTCGTTGGGCCCGTCCTCCTGACCCATCATGCGCTTGCGGTTCTCGAACCCAAGCTCCGTCTTGCCTCGGAGCGCCTGGCGAACCTTTTCCTCGCCACGGTACCTCCAGACGTTGTAGTTGGCAGCGCTGTAGGGGAAGAGCGGCTTGTTCTCGAGATTCTCGATCCAGGTGGTCATGGTGGCCTTGGGCCGCGACGCTAGGACGTCGAGCTCGGCGGCGATCTGCGCACAGTAGCTCTCGAGTGGGAGATCATTGACGTCCTGGCCGAAAGGGTTCTCGACCTCGCGTCCGATGAAGAGGAGGCCCAGAATGATATACGACGCCGCCATCGTGCCCGGGATCGCGACCCATTCCAGTTGCTTCACCAGCTGGAAGGGGAGCAGGATGATGTAGAGCCAGGTGATCTGCGCGATAGCGATGGCGTAGGCGATGGGCAGCGGCGTGGTCAGCACGCGCTCGGTGCCCGTAAGCACGTCGTTGAGCAGGGCCATGTTGTTGTACGCCAGCGTCTGCTGCATCGGGACAGGGAGCTGGCCGTTAGCGATGATCTCGTCTGTGTAGGCGGCCAGGTAGCTGAGGATCTCCAGGGGCAGGTTGCCAAGCGGGCGCCGAGCCTTCTTAAGGGCCTTGCGCGGGTTGCTCGCGGCAAACGACACGCCCAACATCTCGCCCGCGGCCTTGACGACATGGATCCGCCGGGCCTCGGCCATGGTAGGGTCCTCCTTGGTGGCCTCGCCAGCCAGTGTATCGAGATGACCAACGAGGTTCTGAAGATCCTCATAGTTGGTGTACGGCTCGAACCGCAGCTTGTGCTTGAGGGCCACGGCGAAGGCAGTCAGGAGGTTAAGAGCCGAGAGCTTGGCCAGTACATCCTTTTCGCGCAGCTCGCCTTCCCGCTCCTTGGCATGAATCCAGTAGACACGTCCGAGGTTCTGGCATGCCAGGATAAGAGTGGCCCAGTACCTCCTGCCCTCGCCATATCGTTCGTATGCGGTCGAACTGCGGAAGCTAAGACCCAAACCGACGACGAAACCGAGAACAGTGAGCAGCACCGGATTGATACCGACTAAAACGTGGACATGGCGATGGTTAGCATACATATGGCAGGTAGAGCTCAAGCGGGCTAGCGCGTAAACGGAACTCGAGGAGTAGGATAGACGCACGATTTGCAGGAATCGAAGGTTCAAGGGTGATGTATGTTATAACAGTCGCCCATGCGCCGACGAACACCAGCGGCAGGATCAGCTTGGGGAGGATGCTGCCGTGCATCTGAAGGAATATCGGCCATTTCGAGTGTTTTTGGAGGTCGCGAGGTCCGGACTGTGGAGGAACAACAACAGTTAGCTAGAAGCTCCAGACACGACAGTACGTAAAAACAAGCCGAGGTACCATACAAAGTAATCATCAAGATCGAGACTGGTCTGCTGGCGGCTGAAGGGGTTTGGAGTCGCGACGCCAGGAGACATGGGCGACTCGATCTGCTCCAGCGGCGCTCCGCTTTCGGTCGGCCTATGCCGAGCCTCGGGTTGGGCATGCGACATGCCCGTGGTGTTGACCGTAGGAGGTCCTGCAGGTCCCGCAGAGGGACCAGCAGCTCCGCCGCCTTCCTCTGCCATATTTGAAGATTCGAGGTAGCGGTTCGTGGTTCGTTATCTGGAACGTGCGAGAAAGACGGGCAGCTAATTCACAGGGGAAAGGAAGAAAGAAAAAAGTAAAAGGATGACTGGCTATGCTTGCGTGCGTAAAAGATTGGTAAAAACTTGGACTATTACGGCAGCGCCACGCTCTGCGACGGCATGTGGAAGAAAAGAAGAAATGGTGGAACAAGAGAAGGCCAAGAGACAGGATGAAATACAGACCGGACAACGGAATATGAAGGGAACCCCTACAACGGGAAGCGATCAGGACGAGCCGGGAATACGAGCGGCGCGATCGCCGTCCCTGTTTGGCGCTGGCTGCCCTTGTTAGCGGCAGCCCCCCTGGCATTTTGCAGAACGCCTCCACCCACTGAAACCAAAAATCAAGACCGCAAAATGCAATTCCCCCAAGCTCTACAGCAAAAAAAAAACATCAAAACGAACTCAATCAATTCAATTGCGATATGCCGAAACACCATAACACCCACAAAAAAAAACACGGATCCAGGCCATTGCTAATTATTTTGATACCAATCTAATTCCTTGGCTATTTCTTTTGGCGGTGTTGATTGACTTTGAAATGAAAGCCCCTTGTTTGCGGTCTTGATTTTTTTTTTCAGTGGGTGGCCTCCTGTCACACATGTGTAAACCCTGCAGTTCCCCCTGCGCAAGCTTTGCAGGTGCTTGACAAGAAATCCGGTTTTACAGTTCCAATTGGTCGGTCTAGCCCGCTCTGGTTGGGGCGGGGCTTGCAGGTCTGGGGGCGCGATCGTCAAGCCCCCGGAGTCTTTCTTTTTTAGGGGTGGCGATGGCAGGCATCGTCAAACCCCAGTCGACACGCTTCCTGTTCAGGGGCTGATCCATTGTGCGAGGCGCCACCACATGCACCGGGAGAACGAACTAATGTTGTGTTTAGTTCTCACGTTCTCCTTTGAATCAGCACGCATAACAGCTCTCCGCACTTGCTCTGGCTGTCGATGGCTTGCTTTTACGAGCTGCGAGACGCTGGCTAACACGTGTTCGGGTCAGTAATTGGCTGCTGTTTGATTGCTTCACCCGTGCAGCGTGGGAGATGGCGTTACATTGCTTGCTTACGGAGATAGGAGGCGAAAAAAATCGCCATTTTCGAGGTAAGCGCCAAGAGCACCCCATGTTCAGCCCCTACCAAATAAGGCCTAGCCTACATTTCTTTTTCAACATCAATCGGAGAGCCAATTCGAATCCGCCCACACGCGTTTTAATCGATTGGCCCTGGCCCCTGCCCTCGCTTCACGAGTGACCTCCCTACTGTAGATTATTTAACCCTCACGCCTCCGTAGGTTACCTAGGTTCTTATTCGCTAAATCGCGCTTCCGTCTTTCACCTTTCTTCTGCAGACCATGGCCTAGTTTTCACATCCCTCCTCGGCTTACGAAATTCCTTCTTCCTGACCGCTTTCGCTGTTGCTTCACAGAGAACAGGAACAGGAACAGCAAACGTAATCCAGTCTCCCCTGTCATCCCTAGGCCAAGCTCGGGAGAGCTCCCGTCCCAAGACCCGCTGATCCAATGCCCAGCCACGCAGCCTGGGGTTCCCAGACCCCGTTCCTGGTCTGCAAAGGGCCAGAACGTCCTGCACTGCCTCAATCTGCACTGACTACCGCTGAATCGGGAAAACGGCCAATTCAACGAACCGGGCACGCTCCCGCACGACAATGCTCTATCTGTGCCGACACGTAATCACTCATGCGGCGCCAAAACGTCCTGGACTGCACCACCGGGTGTGAATCAGCGTTTCCGGTCTGGCCTCCCGCGGGCTGCGGGAGAGAGCCGTTCGTCTTGGGGCCCGGCCTCTTTTGATGAGTGCCGACCCGGTTTCATGGGGTTGCGTTGAATTTGGGTCCAGTGAGCCTCACACACAGCAATCTCGAAAGGCCGCGCACATCCTTCTTCTCAGTCGAAGAATTGCGGCCCTTCTTGCTTCCGTCGGCAGTTAAAACACGAATGGCCACCAGATCGAGATCGCCAGACGCGAGCTATGCCAGCGTGTTCTAGCTGGGAGGCTAGCCACACCCGGATAAAAAAAAACGGAACACTTTTCAATTTTTTGCCCCAGTGCATACCACCGCAAAAATTGAAAAGTGTTCCGTTTT